ACACACACACACACACACACACACACACACACACACACACACACACACACATGAAGGAACGGGGAGAGGGCATAAAATAATGCTCTGTTGATGATAATAGAAATCTAAATTCTTCTCTTTGTTATGTTTGTCCTATCCCATTGTGGACTCCGAGAGGTGCCACCCATGAAGTCCCCGAGTATTACGAAGACCCCTCTAGTCAGTTATCTGGCTGTCATAAAAGTTGTTTACCCGTGTTTGGCCGAACTCGTAATCGCGCTCTGTATAAAATATGACCATCGATAGTTCCAACAATATTGGGGTTTGAACTTCAGCTCGGTCCGACGCCGTGTCCTTGGGAAAGGCACGTATACGAACTTCCCATTTGGCTCGGTCCTTTCAGAGATGGACATTAAACTCGGTGGTTCCGCCTCTTCAATAACCTTTATTGTTGATAGAGGCGTTAAACCCATACCTTTTTCAACGATATTGGCACGCTTCGTTAGCTCAGCAGGTGTCGTGCTGGACTACGGAGCAGCTGACTCTAGTCCTTTTGAAAGTCTTAAATTGTCATTGATCGTTATGTACGTCATATAATATTGTGTATGGGCGTTCTAGAACTAAGGTCGTTTTGTGGAGTTTTTAAAGCTTTCAACCCATTTGGCTCGGTCCTCTCGCAATTCGGAGGTCCCGCCTTTAAATTAAAGTACCGTAATACTGTTGATAGGGACGTTAAACCCATAATGTTGCCTTTCGGATTAGAGGCTACCGTCTTTCTGTTCCATGAATTTTTAGCATTTTAAATCTGAATATTGGCGAAAATCAAGCCGTGCTATGAACTGTTGTAAATACAATCAACTTGTGTTTCGCGCGCTCATATGAACTATACGTAAAACTCCTACTAAACTAAACTAATCTTTCTGTACTTAAAATGACAATTATAATAAGAATAATATTATTGAATGTATCCATTTTGTAATAGAGCGCGATTATAAAGTAGGCCAAAAACGGGTTCTCTCGTCATAGAATCCCTACCTAAGTTTTTATCGGCGTACTCAATGTGTCCCCCTTGCACTTCTGTTATTGTAGTTGGTTGGCGGCTGCTCTTGTGTCGTTTGCCCCTTCTTTCCTATCAAACATCTATCGTCCTAATGTCTCTCCCTTCATTTTGGTGCGTGTTACTCTCTTGTACCACCTAAAATCTTCGGCTCTTAAATTTGACCTATTTGTATTGCAAGTGCCGCAAAAACCTTACAAAAACTAAGTAGGTCTACTTCTGCTGTCCTACACTCCCCGCCCTCTCCCGAAGCCCCGCCTCTCCATGTAATGTTATTTTCTCACCTCAGAATCCCGCCAAAACAGTAAACATCCAGGCAGCACATGCAAACACTCATACACAGAGAATGGTGTATTATGCTTCTTTTAGCAGCTCGTTGAGGGAACGCATTCTGGTCGATATTGGACAATGCTGGAAGACTATGTTCTGTGGCACTTTATAAAAGAAACATAACTTCGTTAAATTGTACTGCTACTCCTTGCATGGCTCCTTCTTACTGCTGTCTTTGGGGAGGGCTCTCGTGGTCTAGAGGTTAAGGTATTCCCCTCTCATTTACTAGGTCCCGGGTTCGAAGATAGGGACGGAAATTTTTTTCTCTAGAATGTTCTCCTTTCACGTCCATCTTCTGCTGTCTAACAACAATGTTCTGTCGTCTGCTTTCGTCTCCACTTCCTGCCCCCACACCTCATTTGCCCCCCTCCTCTGGGCTCCTCACTCATTCTGCAGCCTTTCTACTGCTACTACTAGGCTCCTTCTTACTACTGCCTTTCAGCCACACCCCTGATCTTAGGGTAGGTAAGATCTAACAAATAGCCTTCTCGGATGAGGGCGAAAAAATCTCGGAGGTTCCGTGTACAAGTTGCGCACGTTAAAGATCCCCTGGGGGTCCACAATCGATAAAGGTAGGCTTCGGCTGCCACCCGGGCAAAAATCAAAATTAATTCCTACCATGTTTACTGTGTCCCGCGCGATCATATTATGAATTTATGCAGTTGCGAGTGCCATAAAACTCTTTAAAAAATAAAATAATTTCGTTATTCAAACAGATTTTATATTCTGTTTTCTTTACCTGAAATTTAAAAAGGCACGCAATAACATTCATTCTATTGAATATAAATAAATACTGTGCAAATGTGGGCGTTTCCGATTGGCGTTTGACCGGGCGTCTGTGGTGTAGCGGTTAAAACATTTCGCTGACGCACACAGAAGACCTGCGTTCGATTCCCAAGTGGGGAGAATTTTTATCGAGTATTCAACCGTTAATAATCTGAGTTGACTCTGACAGGCAGGATGGAAGCAACCTCTTCAAAAATTTTCTCCCACCATGCTAGAAAGTTAAAGTTGTTTTGCTTAATCTTGAGTAAACATTGGCCCTGTTTTGTGCGGGTTTGGTAAAGGTAGCCTACATTGTGTGACGTCGGTTTAAAGTCCACTGACCTTCGTGTGTGTGTGTGTGTGTGTGTGTGTGTGTGTGTGTGTGTGTGTGTGTGTGTGTGTGTGTGTGTGTGTGTGTGTGTGTGTGTGT